CCTGGATTACAATTCCTCTTGAATAGATTGAAACAACCCTCAGAGAGCAATCTGTTAGGAGATCTGGCTATAGTCACCCTTGTGTCTGCATGTTTGCCAGAGTCAATAAGCATTTTCACTTGTTCCTCTCCCTCTGCAGACTGTATCAGCTTTATGGCATGTTGGACCTAATAAGTTAAAGACAACTTCACACACTGTCTGCATGAACGAATTCCAGCACTTGCTAATGCCTTCCTTACGGCAGGTCCCTTTAACCTGTTTGACTTTATTTCTGTTTTGTTTGCACTTTAATGCTACTAAATGGTGGTATCTATCAATAGACATTTTCTATGAAAGAATAAACTAAAGTGTTCAGTTTAATTCAGGATTAGTTCAAACTAAAACATAAAAAAAATACTTAAAATAAAATAAACTTTAACTGAAATAAAATATTAAAAAATCTTTAGCTTGATGTAAAATAAACTGAAATAACAATTAATAAAAAACTATTTAGATTTAAAACAAAAACTAATAAATAAGATAGACAACAGACAACAACATTGCTAAAACTAATGTTAAACTAAAATTAAAATTATTCAAAATATTAATTCAAAGCTAATTCAAATAAAATCTATAATAGTCTCAATGATACTAAAACAACACTGGTTCACAGACTAAACCAGAATGAGACTTTATTTGAGTGACAAATTTAACTCGATTATTTTATTTTTTGATATCCATAGGGTCCTACATCACTGCTGGTGTTTATGCATTGATTTAGTGACTTCCCTCTTGTGTAATTGTGAATCGGTATGGTTGGTAAGCAAGCAGGATGGTGTGTGTGTGTGTCAGAGGAAGAGACAAAGTGAGAACGTGTCCTGCACCTGCAAGGCTACGTCAGTGGTGTGGTAGTCCAGGCAGCCTTGGGGTCAGAGACAGCAGGCAGGGTATCTGTTTAATGTCCTGGTGAGCAGCCCTGAATTTATGAACTCGGTGAGAGGGGGAAATGATAACGTGTGGGAGAAGAGAGGATAGCTCATGCTTCTGTCGTCTTTTTCTGGTAGGAATGCCTCCTTTGAATTCTTTCTCCCCACACAGAGGCAAAGCTTTTAGTTTGGCCTCACTATTAGCTCTGTGATGTCCAAATAGAGAGGCTGTCATAGTTTTAACACAGTGATGGAACAGTTTTAACACCGGGACGGAACAGACACAGTTTCAAAGGGGAGGAGACCTTCTACTTCCTTGGTGTAATATACACACAAATAAGAGATCATTAGTAGGTATGTTTAGTGTCACATTTTAATGTATTCAACTAACACTATGTCCTAACCTGGGGCAAGTTGCATAAACATAGCCATTAAGGTAAGACTGTGTCTCAAGTACTTGTATGACCAGTGCTCGAAGTGGGCCGGTACGCAGTATACGGCACTTCTATATTTTATTCTTTAGCGTACTGTACCTTCACCTTTTCTTGCATGCCGCCACTTCTCACTTTGCCACTTAGAGTCAAAGCGTCAGTGTCTTAGTCATTGTAGAAATTTCAAATGTGATAATGATTTGCATATGCCAGCCATCAGCCGGTGCACAAGAGAGTACTGGCACTTTTTTTTTTCACTTCAAGCACTGAGTATGAAAGACTAGCGATAGTCAAGAGGCAATCAGTCTTACTTTTTAGTATCAATTTAGACCAGTTGTGAACAGTCTTAAAGAAAAAACTATATCCGATTTGGTTATCAGCGTTATCAGTTTTTATTTATTTATTTGAATTAGTCGATACCAGATCTCATTTCCCTTGTTCTCATTCTTTCAAGTTCATCTTTAAAACTATTTTTAATAACACTGTTAAATGTAATCTTTAGCAAATCTCAAAATGAATCTCCATTTTTAATGCTGTACATTTTAATGTTGTGATGCCTAAATCTACTTGTAACATTTTAAATGTTTGACTTTAAGTTTTAAGTATTTTATTTAGAATTTATTTAGATCAAAATAGTAAAGAATTTGAACATGAAAGTATCAGTATCAGCCTGAATTTTAATATTGGTGCATCCGTAATGAAAGTGTATGGTGACCACCACTAAAATGCTTAAATTAAAATTTCAGTCTGTTCCTCACAAAACTGGATCAGCTGCTTCAGAAGAAATATGGCACAAAAGTTATACAGACTGCTTTTATTATGGTATTTTTTCATTGTTTGTGGAGCTTAACAGCTCCTGGCCCCCATCCACTTTCATTGTATGGAAGAAAGAAAGTCATCCGGGTTTGGATCGACATGAAGCCAGATAAATGATTTCTTTTTCTGTCCTTAACAGCTGCGTCATGTCAAGAGACAAGACATGCTTGGTTTCTCTGTCTGTCACGTTGAGCTGAGTAATCCTGCACGCAGTGAAATCTCATTGGTCCAGAATTGCGTTGTTGAAAATTCATCATCAAATATCTTCTGATTGACTGTAGTTTTGTATTTTTTTGTATTACAGCATTTTCACCTTTAGCATGGACAGAAAAAATGGAAAGCAGTGTAATTATCAGCTAGATCAAGCATAGAGCAGTGTTTAAAGCTGTGGAGCACTTGTCTCCTCTTCCACCTCCCCTGCCCTTATAGATGAAATCTATCCGTGGGCCCATGTGTGACAGTGCATTCTTTGATTCCATCTGCCTTTATAGAGCAAGAGAGCCTGTGACTTTATTGTGGTGACTGGTTGGGAAAAACCTGCCATTTCTAATAACACTGTCTTGAAGCAGTTCGAACTTTGAGCATGTCAAGTCCCATCTGAAAGAGATTTGGGAACGCTCAGCATGAATAAAAACATACAAATGGATTTAATCAGTTTGAAAAGAGCTCGGAAGGGCTGCTGTTGGCCCTTACCGCTCATATCTGTGCAGCGTATCTCAGCGTACACTGCCCCTGCTGTGAGCACTGGGATGGTGGAGAGCTTTGCTTCACCAGTCCTGCTTTAACCATAGAAAGCCTACTGTATCATATTTGATACATGAATTTCTGAAAAATCTGCTGCACATTGCATCTACTACATGCCTTCTGGCCTCTGATTGATAGTTCAAAATCCTTCTTCAGGTCGTGGTGCACGTCTTTTTGCTATGAAATATTTAATGACTTTTATAAAGTAAACCTATACTTTATAAAACAATTAACTTTTATATTGTTGTTATTATTATTTCAAGATGACCATTTACTGCACTGAGACAACTTAGGTTTACGATACAACAGGCTTTTGAGGAATGTTTATTTGTACATCTTTCAATCATCATTGTATTTGTATTACATTGCATTATATGTTTTGCCACACAATTAACACACAATTATACAATTAATACTAATTTGATCATAAAAGTAAAAGTAATATACATATTATTAATCCATATAAATAACTAAATAAGTGCCAACATCTGCACCAAATTGCATATTTTTGTTCCGTTTGGGCCTCTGAATAAAATTGAGGTGGTTTTTACTCCTCGATTGTGAGCTCTATTTTCCTTAAATAGTCTGAGCTAGATTTATCAAATGTGATAAAAAAAAACATAAAACGCATGTAATTTATTTTTACATGTTTTACATTCATATAACAAATGCAATTTATATATCGTAACATGTTAGACACAAACAAACAGAGATGACTCAAAAATACGTATTAAACAAAGAGAAAACACTTGGAGATAGACATAGCAATAACACATTCACATAAACAATACCGAACATGGAACAGACTGAACTGAAGGCTTAAATACACAGGGGAGCAATCAACAGAAAACAGAACAGGTGAAGAACTAATTAACAACCATGGAAACAAACAAGAAACTATAGAACTCAGGCAATTTGGCACAAGGAAAACCAAACTAAAACACAAGAAAAACCAAACTAAAACACAATGAACTGACAGAACTAAACATAACTGTAACATGTATTGTGTAAAGGTTCAATACAGGCCTACTGTTCTATTAAAAATATACACACACACACACAAATATATATATATATATATATATATATTTGGTTGCACTTTATTTTAAAGTACGTGCACTTACGCGTGCTTGCAGTGTACTTACCTAAGAAAGTAGTGGGTAATATAAGGTAACTACATGGGTTAAGGTTAGGTTTAGGGGTAAGTTCAGGGTTAGTACCTAGTTATTATAATTACTATAATAAGTACATAGTATTTTGAGTATTATTTCATATGTATTATGTATTTAATTTGAGTATTATTTCATATGTATTATGTATATAGTATGTATGTATTATTCATATAGTACCAGTATGGATGATATTAATTATTCATATAGTATATGGTAACATTTAGGGCTTCACGTTACTTATTGGTAAGTATTAAAGTATATTGTGTTTTGCATGTTAATATGAATTAGAAAAGAAAAGTTTTGTTAATTTACATAACTCGCTATAGTCCCAAAATTAGTGTATCTCCAGTAATGGGCGATTCTATAACACTTAGCCATGGGTGTGAAAATACAAGCATTATCATTTTTCAAACTTTTTTCAGTTTGATGTGTTTTTGAATCTCACCTCGCACAACATCATGGTAAATTAATCACCCTGTGAGGCTGTGGGCCGTCGATACTCTTTTGAGCGAGAGAGCGAATTCCCCGTGGCCGTGACCACACAGAGTGCCCATTGTTCTGCACTGGAGGCAGCTGGGTATCAGAGATGCCATTTATCTCCTTATCTCCCCTCACTCGCAGTTAACCTCATCTGTGAAGACCAGCACAGCTACGTCAGCAAACCTGGAACAGAACCCTGCTCTTGTCTAAACCAGGATTTAGGAAAATAATGTTCTAAAACCTGATTCGGTTGTTTAGACTGATGGACATTTTCTCATTTTTAGGAGGACAAGGGGGCAACAAATAATTAAAATTATTAAAAGGAATTTATATTTATATTAGAATACAATAATGAATACATTGTCTAACCATCCTTAAATTGTGTGTAAGAAATAGTGAAAAAAGTGAGAAATACAAATATTTGGCCTAATTACATTTTGACCTTTCCACAGGTAACCCAGGTGTGGTGGGCTTCTACAAGACATACATGTGGACATTGTATCAGACGTTCCTCCAGAGATATCCAGTTTGGGCTGTGAGCCATGCTGGACACTGTATGCCTCCGGAAACCTTTGATATGATTGAAGGTGGGACATCTCCCTCTTTTCATACACTACATGGCCAAAAGTATGTGGACACCACTTTCTAATGATCTAGATTTGGTTATTTCAGCTAGCATTACTGACAGGAGCATAAAATCAAGTATGCAGACAGTCCAAGGTGTAAAAGTGATCGTGCATGTCCTACATTGAGGCAAAAGTCATGCAACTGGTAGTCTCGCGTAGCCAGACCTTCAGACTGACGGCTGAAGGTCTGGAATTCATAGCAGCTTTCTTTGGCCAAGGCCCGCCCATAAGGCCGTTTGACCGACATGTCAAACAACCAATTACAGTTCGTTTCGTTCAGCGTCACGTTTCGGGGCGTGGAAATGTCCCCACAACAACAGACCGGCGTGCGGTGCAACAAGTCAGTCAGCATATAGAAAATCAAAGAAGGAGAAGAAAACTTCAAGAGTCTATGCCGTGAACCTCGCATACTTTTGAGAATCCTACGTTTAGCTGATCTTGATAAATGCTCATTGTCACTCATGTAAACACAACAGTTTTTCTTCCGCAATCACACGTCTGCGCTTTGTTTCCCGGCGGACCGAAAATAAACGCGACACTCGCGCCCCCCGGAAATCCGATAAAATTCAACCAATCAGATGACGACTTCGACATTCCTGAAGTGTTTCCAGTTAAGTGTACCATATGCATCAGACGTTTAGCCAACGTTCCGTGGGCGTGACGTCTGAGGCTGAGACTATGCAACTGGTTGACATAACGTCTGTTCCAATTCTGTGGGTTGTTCATGGACTTCAAAGTAGTTTGTCTTTTTAATGGTTGACTCAGATGAGTGCAAGCCTATACAAATGTGGACTATATTACAAATATCTGTGTGCCAATGGTCAAAATGTTGTTTTTCTTTTCATGACCTAACATTTAAGCCTGTATTAACTTTTTGGGTTTACATAAATGTCATAGTGAAAACAGTGCATAGAGTGACATCATAGATTACGTTTTCTCTCCTCTGACTCACCATAGTATCATCACCACTGTTATGAGTCAGTAGATGGCAGCAGATAATTAAGTGACTTCAGTTATTTAGAGGAATAATTATTTATCATTCTTTGCTTACTCTGCATCTCTTGAATACACTTTTTAGATGGTTTTGGCTTTATTTACCATTTAAGAGATTATTATTAATAATATTAAATTATAATTTTAATCAATAGATTATTTCTGTATACTAAATCCTATTAATAATAATGAATTTTATTAATATAAAAAATTTTTTGCATGGCTATTATCAATAGCACTATAGTGGTATGTTTATTTTTCTCACAAAATTTCATTGATGCTTCAGGTCTTTGTATGCATGATTTATTTATTTTATTTTTTTGGTTTAAATTTACCCAGCCTTAGTTATTGATAAAGCTCAATTTAAATTGTTTTAAATCATTAAACAGAATGTTATGGTACATTGGAAGCCTTTCTAAAACCAGTTTACTTTGGAGTTACTGTACCCTCATGCACAAACACTGCCTGTGAAGTCACTGACTGACTACTCTTAAAGACTGTTCTGACTGATATGCTGGTTTGTAGTGTCTGTCAGAGTGCGGGATGCTCCTCCTGGAATCTTTTCACAAAGCCCACAGTAAGGTGGAATGCATTCGGGACTGACGAACGAGCCAAGTTGTGTCTCCCTCCTCTGCCTGAACCAGTATATGACAGTCCGGCATGTTCATCCATAAAGCAGCATGGACATTTTTATTGAGCTTGCTACGTGGGAAAGACATTACCAAGCCCTCACCTGTAATAAGATAAACCACATGCAGATGGCTGGAATCTCCAAAAACAGCACTTCTACTGGCTTGCTTGATGGATGGGAAAGTCTAGATGAACACCGGTCACTTTAGCTGTCAACAAGCTGCAGGGTCCTTGCACTTCTTAGTATGTCTTATTGTGGTCTGTTTGCCACCCGATAAACAGAAATTACCATAATCAAATCAGTAGATCTGCCAGAACAAAACTTCTTGAAGCTCATCTGAAATTTTCAGCAAACTGAAACGATCTCTTAGCTAGTCCAGGAAAGGCCTGGTTTTAAATTAAGCCAGTATTAGGCCTTAGTTCAATTAGGATATTTAAGTAGCTTTTATAAACATGCCTTAGAAAAAAACATTACTGGTGTGCATCTTGAGAAAAAACAATGTTTTATGTTTTAAGATATGTCAGTGCAAGTTGCTTTCAGTTAAAACAGCTTGAACATGCATTTAGTCTGGGACTAGGCTTAAGCCTTGTCTGTGAAACTGTGGGATAGATTAATATTTTTTACAATCTGAAGGATCAAACAATTGCTTTTCTATTGTGACCACATGGAATACTTTTACCGGAATCATAGTCTTAAAGTATTCAGTGACAGACAGCTGATCTCTGGCTCACACAAAAGACGATGACATCCATTGCTGTTCATATCATGTCGTGCAATCACGAGCTGGATGATTAAAAGTCCAAACTCAGCAACGGATTCAAATGTGCCAAGAGATGACAAGCGGCAGGCGTTTGCCAAGGCAGCACAGATGAAAGCAGGGACACAATTAAAAGTTCCATTTCATTTCCCCAATCTCGCTCTTTGAGTGACATTCTTGATTACCATCAATGGCTGTCTTAAGCGCGGCGGTATCAAATATACTGGGCTTTTCTTTCCACCGCACATTGTCTTGTTCATCTCAATGATCCATCCCTCATCATGTTCTGCCATTTGGTTCGCAGATGCCCCTGTCTGAAGAAATAGCTGCTTGTGTTGCTCCTCATTGCTGAGGATGTAGTATATCAGACTGTAATCAACTAAAAACTGCCAAAGAGATTCTTGGAAGCGTTTGTTTTTTATCATGCAGGCACTTGCAGAACGTTTTTTTTTCTTATTATTATTATAATTTATGTTAGATTAAACTGTTTTAGTGATTTATTGTTTGGATATTCCTGTGTTTCCTTCAGTAAATACTAAGATGCTGTCATTGCAGTTTTGCAGGCTGAAACAGCAATGTTGGCTCAACCAATTGCATGGGTTGAGGGCGGGGCTATCTGTTTTGCCACATGTTCAAGATACCTGTTTGAAAACAGTCGTTATTTTTGCTATTGTTTATGGACACTACTGGCAAATAATTTGTATTAATTATTTAATATGCAGTTTGAATCAGGGTTATTATCGTTTACTATTAAAACAATTTTGTCAATTAAAATAAAGCTGAACATTTTTTTTAAATATAAAATGAAAAACTTAACTAAAAAATTTGAAATGTTGTTTTGGCAACTAACTAGCACTAAAATTACTACCTGGAAATAAATAAAAACGAATAAAAAATATTAAAACTAATTAAATTTAAAGTAAAAATGAAAGCTGACTATAAAAATAAAAGATATTTCAAAACATTAATAAAATCTATTGTAGTATATAAATAATACTTACCGGTAACATTGTTTGAATGAAAAAAAAATTATGTAAATTATTTTTAGTTTAAATAAATGTACATTTTTAAATTACTTCAAAATATGCCATTTAAACCATTTGAAATAGTGATATTTTTATTATTCAGTAGTACCATGTTACATTTTTTTTTTAAACTAGCTGATTGTAGAATTGGTGGAATTGTTTTCCGTAACACCGTGGCGTCACTGACTTGGGTGTCAGATCTGGTTTGCGGTTTCTTCTTTAGATGACCCTTCAAACAACTTCAGGTTTTCAAATCCAGCTTCCTTCTCCAGAAGTCACTGGTGGCTTTCCTTGTGAATGCTGCACATTGATTTACTGCTGTTCAAAGAGCACTTGGTCAGCCAGCGGTCAGCAGCAGGCACAGCCATTCGAACCCACAGAAACCTCATTTCGTCCAGTCCAGCACAGCCATAGAGAAACTTCATTGATGAGATCTTAAACTCTCACCGCCAAACACTTCAGTCCCTTTGGCAATATAGGGCTTGACTTATTTAATGGCATATATTAAGTAATATTACATCCCTGTGTTTTGGAAACATAAACAAAAGCAGGGGGAAACGGTAGTGGGGTAAACATGCCAAATCTCTGTGGAGGAACTGTTCCTGTGGTTGGCGATTCGTGATTGATGCCTTTTGATTACAGTAAAAATATCTGTTAATGCAAACACAGGGAATATTTTGGACTCTGCCAATGTCAATAATCCTGCCCTGGGTCAAGCCGTCCTCAAGACCTACACATCTCATTCATTTTGTCAGAGCGTATTAAGAGAGCTACTAGTGTTGTCAAAAATATCGATATTTCGATAAATATCGATACTGAAATATCTGAACGGTACCAATACTAATTTCCCGAAGTATCGATACTAGCCGAGCAGTCACTTTCACTTCTCTCAAAAGGCGCGTTGACAAACACCACACGTGACGCACTCGTCTCATTCGCTCTGGTTAAATAGCAAAAGTGAAGTGAATGGAAAGATGGCGAGGGCCGCGCCCCCGCGACCGGCTTTGGTTGATTGATAAAGAACACCGCGAGCGGGCATGTCGGAGAATAGCGCGGACACGCGTAAAAAACACACCGCGAGCGGGCATGTCGGAGTCGGAGAATAGCGTGGACACGAGCTACACACCGCGAGCGGGCATGTAGGAGAATAGCGCGGACACGAGCTACACACCGCGAGCGGGCATGTCGGAGAATAGCGCGGACACGCGAGCGGGCTGCGGGCACCCAACAGATTGTTTGACTATCAATAACCCCTCACATCACTCATTTTTTTTAATTGTTGTATAGGTGAAAACAGACTTAAGGAGCAGGCTCCAGGGGTAGGCTACTATTCAGCATTATATGCTCAGCATCAGGGGTGTTTGTTGTTTGGACAGACCTGCCCCCACTGCTAAAAAAATCCTCAAGGAAACACTGTAACTCTTCTCATTTGAACTTTTCTGAAACATTAACCAAGATGGCCTAGTATTGTTGTTGATAAGAGTCTGTGTTGTCTCGTTTTAATTCTTAAAGTTAACATAATCTGACTGGAATCTTAGACAAGTAAATATTGTAA